GAATACATGGATTCTTCTGAGCAAAATATTTCCAATCCCTGCATAAGTAAAAAATAAAAATTAAGTAACGTCTTATATACAAATATATGCATATCGAGAATATAAAATGTCCTGATCTCATCACACTTGGCATTAACTTATTTTTGGTATTTTTGACATTACACATGGTAATGCCAAGTAGACAACCAAGTCTTGTATACTGTAAATTGCTTCATTTTTTCTGTTAAGAATTATGACAATTTAATGATTTTATGGTATTCGTGAAGACAACATTTTTCAAAAGTTAATGACACTCCGGGCTGTGAGACCCCAGAGAAATTTTCACTACTACAAAATATCAGGATTTTCTAAGGAATCATGAAATTTAGGGAAATATTTCAATGGTGCCACAATAGTAGTGGAGCTTATCTAAAGGTTCATTAATACAATACACTCGGTACAAGTAAATATAACATTTTCTGTAGTTTGATAAAAAACAAGAACACCTACCACTTGTCGAAGTAAATATCTTCTCTTCACTACTCTCTTTATGTCAGACAATTTTATTTTCATAACAGGGACCTGGAAGGTACAAGCGAGTACAAACAAACTCAGCAAGAGCACAAGCAAGCAATTAGTTTTAATAAATATATACATTTGGATTTAATTGCTGAGAAAACAATACGCTCAATAGTCATCATGGTACACTGTAATCTAATACAGGTCTACTTACTGGTTCTACATTATTGAATGGCTGGAAATACAACCTTGATGAAGTCAGCATTATCCTACCAGGGTTGGTTACTAACGGTGTTATCCTATCTCCCATGGTTTCCATGACAATCTGTTCATAGAGATTCTCCAGCCAGCTGGTGTTGAAACTAACCCTGGCTTGTCTTGATTGAACAATGGTTGCAATCTGAAAATGGAAAATAACGTCTATTAAGATAACAACATGGTAATTCATAAATTGCTTGGCTTACCTTTGAGTTACACAACATTGAAACTTGTTGCACAGAGTATACAATGTGAGGATGGATGCATATTTGTGGTACAATGTTTTCATTGGCTACATTTGAGATAT